TCCTTCTCAGAACTCTATTCTCGGTAGAGTTTACTTTGTGACATCGTGAAACAACGAAATTATCCGTTAATATAATGAATTGGTTCTCATCTAACCAATAAACGATCTTGTAGGTGGCATATCGATAGTTGTGTTTTGTTCGTCAGAGCCTTCAAGCTGGTCGAAACCGTCCGCTTTACCGTTACAGGGAAGAGGAACATCGACCTCTGTATCGGGGTGCTCAGCGGTGTCTTGATTCCACAGATCATGCGACTCCGCTGTTGTTGATGCTCGCCAATTACGACATGCTCGAACGAACCACTTCAAATTGATCAATGCAGATTATGCAGTTCATTCAGATTAGGTTTCACTTAAGGTCAAATTTGAAGGTAGCATCACTCACTGGCAATAAACATTTCTTTGTGACTTCATCATAGACACGGTCCTTCGAACACGACACGTAACGAGTTTCACCAATCACGCAAACTAATACCCATCGCGAGCATCCAACTCCGTAAATACCGTCCGGAAGTTTCAAGCAAGGTGATCCTGCAAGGTGAACAGAAACGTCAATGCGATGCTGGGTACCGTAGTGTATTAGTGAAAGAATTCAATTGTTTATGCTGATATGATGAGACGGTAAATCCGAGCCCTATGTTAACTAGAAAGCTGATGAATTCTCACATCTTGCGACCAAATAATACTAATTTTCACGTATTGTACAAAGTTTGCAAACATTCTCGTCAAATTATATCAGTGCTAACTTTCAAAATCTTGCGCAACTAAATGACGTAAAGAAAACCAATGTTATGTTTGCAAACCACCAGTAATTCAACACCTAATGAGAACATTTGAATATTGCAATTCATCAAAAATCAGTTCACAAATAATTTACCTTCAGGTGGCTTTGTAGCCGTCGGTAATGCATTACTACTAACTGATGGTTGTGAGGAACCTTTTGGAGTGGTAAATAAGCCATTATTTTCCTCAGTAGGTCGTGATCTCAGCAGAGTGCTCGATAAATATTTTGTTGGAGTTTGCATCAGTTCGGTGGTGCGTTGCCGTTGTTTGGATTCTTCTTCAGTCGTCATCATCATTTCAGATTCAGGTTGTGATGATGGATGCTGCTCGATTGATATTTCCTCATGGCATTCAGGTACTGCCGACTGAAACGTACCAATAACAACAGCGAGTATAGTCTGCGGTTTGTCTTTATCCCCCTCTCTTCATAAGCCACCACGCACTTCATCAAAACTGCGAGATACCTTTTTCATACTAAAATTGCGAATTAGCAACTACTGCAAAAATCAGCGACACCATTGATATAATTTTCACCGTATGTTTCACGCATTTAACATAAGATGAAACATAAAATAAGTAAACGAAATCGACAAATGATGACTGCTTGCGAGTGATGGTAAGCGACCGGAGTTCGATCGGTAAACTCCGAGGAATTTCGATTGGAATCCTGAGGTTCAGATTCCGACCGAAGAATTTTGAAATTCGCTCGAAATATCAAATTTCGGAATCTCGAATTGTGAAATCGGTCGAGTACCGATCGAACTGAAATTTATTTCGGATGCCATGACTACTGCACGCCATGCGGCGTGTGAAATAGCCAAATGAAAGCTGTACTCATAAAAGTGCTTCATCAGATACAAGTTCACCTTTAATTGTAATAAGCTTCGCTATTTCAGTTCAGATTGGTTTTTCTAGTGATGAACTCATTGGTGGTACATTCGTGATTGTGTGAAAAATCGTACTAAAAATTGAAAATCAAATTTTTCGATATGGTCGTAATATGTGAATACTGAATTGCCTTGCCTTTGGATAACAATCGAATTCTTTTTGATAGAATACCAAATCTTCCTCACATTTCAACCAGTGCTCTGTTCCCACGATACAAAGGACGAAGTGAGGCGAACAACCCAGTTGTTTTGGACCATTTGTTAATCCAGCGCATGAGAAATCTGACAACATGAGAAATCAAGAATCAGTTTCATCTATGAAATTTGAAATGGTTGAAATTAAGGTATTGCAAACAGTTTGATGGTGGTATCTCATTTCAACTATCGAATTTTTATTCCTTTTGAAAGTGATGTTCAAACTAGAATGGAATTCAGCTTTCATGCGGTGTGGACTTGGTTGAGAAATATTCATTGTCTCGATAGTGCAAGAGCATAAATGTGGTAGCTGTATAGAATATGTATGCGATAAATTTCTTACGTTAAGTGGAAATATGAAAGCGATACTTGAAACAAGGAACAATAAAGTCATGATTCACTTTTCTTTAGATCGTTTTCACCAATGGTTGCTGGTGTTGATGAGTATTGATATTCGGCTTGCATCGCTTCCAGAGATGCGACTGGTTTGGGCGTAGTTTCTCGGAAATGTTCACGATCGGCCGCATTAGATGCTCCAGAAACCATCGTTGAGAACTTTTCTGCCGCCGTTTTTTCTTGTTGAGTGGACATCAATGGTATGTGATCTGCCAAGAATAGAAATGATTTATCTGAGAGATAATTGTGGGAATGTTGTCACACGATAATCACTTGTGTAACATTCTTTAATGATCCGAATTAAAATGCTACCTCTCAACACATGAAACAAACTTCAGTGCCCAATGAAAGCAGAATGATGGTCTTAGCTCGGATGACCGGGGTGATAGGATTCAGTGACCCAATCGCAAGTTGCTTTTTAAGGTCAGTCATGTGCTACTTGCTACTTCTCCAGAGTGAGCTGCAACTTTTTTTCTGTTCTATCGATGAAGTTGTTGCTCCTACTTTGAATGCTTTCCATGATCCATCGTCTGGGGTGTGAAACTCATGTGTGGAAGTTGATATTTTCTTGTATAACAGCTAAAATGCTCATATGGCCAATGTTCCTGTCACCTAATAAGACGCCGTCAACCAATTTTTGATCGTATTTTGCTGTTAGTATCGCTCATCTCTGTGTGATACCCGGAGCCGTGGATATTTCTTCTAAGGTGCATTCCATAATCAGTTGCTCTCTTGTTTCATTCTTCAACCTTTCTGATTTATCTGCTCCAGGTGGCAATATTGACTGCCTTTCAAGAGTCACTCCGAAAGTGATGGACGCATGAGGAGATTACTTTAAAACAGTTTCATCGTCTGGAGCCAAAGAAAAAGCTTTATGCAAAACGATCCCTCCCAAGCCACCAGTTCCGTTACTATGCTCCTCCACAGTTGTCAACCTTGGACTAGTGATGATAGCCGACAGAAGTTTATTTATATTCCGATCAAATTTTGGGTTTAAACATTTTTCGGATCTTCACGAAATACCGAGATTAGTAATTCTCCAGAATACTCCGTGGGATTCTGACCGAATAGCTTTGAATTCCGATCAAAATAACGAGTTTTGAAATTTCGAAGAATGAATTCGACTAGATTTCGACCGAAAACTTCGAATATTGAAAGGAATACCGAATTTCGGAATATTAAAGATCAGACTGCGATCAAACCCAAATTTAATTCGGCTATTGTCACTAACTTGCACGAATCTTGTCAGTCACAGTAAGCTGTGGTCCACTGCATATGCAGTTGGAGTTGAAAGGTCAGCCACAGACGTTTCGGCGAAGCCATCTGTATCGTAATTGAATTCCTTGGAATGTACTGGTGATAATTCAATAAATAATTTGACCAGAGTTTTTTTTAATAAATGAGATTCGACTGATACTTTGATTGTGACATTCCCATCTAATTCATGTGAGGTGATCAGCAAATGAACATATGTCATAAACATCTACATCTCTACTACCTCTTGAGGTGGTAATTCGATCCTTTTCAGTAGTCGTGTATTTCATCTGATCAATTCCTGATCCATAAACTGAGAAATCTGCTTCACCATTGATACACGATTGAACTTCAGACTGAAATTCTCTCAGTTGTTTCAAAATGTTGATATCATTTTCGTTCATGGTACGGGCTTTAATATTTCATGTGTAACGTTTCGAAAGAATCTAATGAAAGGAAAATATTCCACGCACAAAAGTACGTTCTATGAATCTCGAAAAAATTGTGAAGAAAAAATTTCGGAAAGACCAGTGTAATTCGGAAAGACCAGCTTAAAAACTTTACCGGTCCTCACAGCATCTCAGTATCACCTATAATTTCCTCAAAGATTCAACGTGCGAAAAAATACAGATTGGATAAAACGAACTCCATGAAGACACATCTGCGATTCAGCATCAAATTTCAATTCGAAAGGACATCGATGTAAACTACCCGTCTCGTTCGTACAAATAATAAAGTCAGACGAACAACCCATGGATACTGCTGCCTCGTTTATACCATCACATGTTGAACCTTGAATAACAATTTGAATTGACCATACAATAGAAATTTGTGTTCAGTTCAAAATATTAACATGGGAATCATGTAATGGAAAAATAAGACAAAGCAACTATTCTATTCAAGAACCTTCCATCGAGAGGATTCATCCGGTAATTGAGCTGCGATAAACCGTAGTGAAAGAGTAAAATAGATAAAGGGATGAAGCCGTCATAATTTCGCCTCATCATTCCTCAAAATTACGCACGAAATTCTAAAACTCACCATATCTTTCGTCGGATTTATCTATGACCAACAGCGGCGGTGAAATCGTAACCGGGACAACAGCCGGAACACCGGTTTCAGACGTTGAAAACGGAGATGCAAAAGCTGCACCACCATTTTCGTTTGCAGATTTCTCGAAGCCAGAAGTCATAACCTCTGCACCTCTCTCAATACCGGATGTTACACCTTCGAATTCACCTTCGATACCTGCTGTACTCCTCCAGGAAATTTCCGACGAAGCACCTTCACTTTCACCCTTACCAGCTACATTGGTCACACCCTCTTCTATACGTTGCTCAATTTCGAACGGAGTACCTTCAGCTTCAGGTTTTCCTGCTTCAGGAATCATGCCCTCTTCTATAGGATGCTCAGTTACGAATGGAACACCCTCACCTTCAGGGGTCACAGCTTCTGCCCCAGCTTCCTCAGTCACGGAGCGTGCGCGTTCTTGTTCGCCTTCTTCGGCTGTAAACATCTCACCCTCCATCTCAGCAGTTTTTCTCCAGGCAATTCCAGGTGAAACACCTTCACCTTGAGTTTCTGGAGTAGCACCTTCAGCTTCACGTTCACCAGCTTCAGCAATCATACCCTCTTCCATACGCTGCTCAGTTCCGAATGGAGCACCTTCTTGAGGTTTGCCGGCTTCTGGCGTTGCCGCTTCACCTCCAGGCCCCTCAGTTGCGAACGGCCCACCTTCACCTTCTGTTCTACCAACTTCCGCAGTTGCGCCTTCAGCTTCACGTTCACCAGCTTCAGCAGTCACACCCTTTTCCATACGCTGCTCAGTTCCGAGTGGACCGCCTTCGCCTTCAGGTTTTCCTGCTTCTGGCGTCGCCGCTTC